AGTCAATCAGGAAGCCGGGAGGCGGGTCATGACATTCCGCCTGGCTTTCTGATTGGTTAGGAAGCCAGACTGCCTACCAACAAGTCAAGCTGGCTTCCTAGCCAATCAGGAAGCTGGGATGCAGGTCATGATGTGCCTGGTCAGGAAGCCAGGTGCCTCGGCAAGTGAAGCCAGTGTTCTTTCGAAAGAACACCGGCTTCCCAGACAAGCCGGATAACAGGTCATGATCCGCTGCCCGACTACCTGATAACTGGGGCAGCTGGCACCAGTATTGGTATTTAGTATCGGGAAGTATCAAAAAGAAAATATTAGTACTCGATACCGAAAACCGGTGTCGGTGCATCTCTAATTAAAAGATATTCTAGAGGAAGGAAAAAGTACCTTTATAACGTATGGTCCAATTAGTTCCAAGGAAAAATCTGATTTTTTTCCCCTTAATGGTAGAGTTATCGGCGATGCTAGGCTGCCTTTTCAACTTTCACACCCTAAAGAAGACCCCAAATATGAGCCTGTGTCTAGCTTTTAACCAATAAGTACACACTATTATTAAATCTAAAATTTGTTTGGGTACCACTTCTGGCATTCTTTCTTTAAAGTGTATGTAAAGGCAGAACTTTTTGTTTTGTTTTATATAGCATATGGGAGGGTTAGACCCTATTTCAAACTTTTATTGCTGTCATAGCTAGAAAGATTTATCCTCTTCTTTTGTCCTTGTGGCCCTGGTCACCAAGACAAAAAATGAGGGCAAATCCAGAATTTTAGAGTTGTCATGAGAGCAAGAGGTGAGGGCAAAGCACCAAACTGGGGCTCAAGTTCTGTTGACAACTGTGAAACATGGGAATTGCCTTCACTTACAGGAGATGTCATCTTACTTCCTGTTGTGTCTCCAGGACAGGAAGTGAAGGTAAATCTCCCTAGTTGGACAGAAACCTAAAAAAATACCCTGATAGGGGTTTTAATGTTTAAAACTTGTAACAGTTACCTTCTCTGTGTAGCAGCAAAAAAAGTTTTAACTATATATACTCTTACATTTATTTAAACTGTAAGACTTAGGAGGTTACTGGTGGACCAGCTGAATGTGTACTGATTAAAAGTTATATTGCAGTATGTTTTTGGTTCCAATGGCTGGATATTTGTTACTCTTGAAGGAAGAGGAATGATTTTGGATGAGCAAGCGACAGATGCGACAGTAGGGGAGTTTTCGATTTATTGCAAAAAAGAGGTACTTTTTTCTCCAAATAATAATAATATACATTTGCATTGTTGACTTGTACCATCTTGATTCATGCAAGGTATGCACTTTAGTGACAGGTCCACTTCACATTGTAAGAAATAAGCCCTGAGCAGTAAATATCCATGCTCAGAGTCCCCATTAATTTAATCAACTGCATAAGTCTGTCTAAGATTCTATCTAGCTATTCTAAATTCATGACCAAACCAATCATTCATGACTAATTGTACTTGTAAACAATGTAAACATAAATTTTTCTCGCAAATAAAGCTTAATCTTGAGGCTGAAAACATCCCTAGCCTTTAAGTTCATAGACAAATGTGAATTCCTGCAGGCTAAAATTGGCACCCCAGTCTAATATTAATGTTAGTCTTACCTCTGGAAGACATACTGTATTAGTTATTTCTTTAGAAAATAGAGATTCAAGAATTATTGTGCATCACTGCAAGAGTAAGTTTGTGATTTTCCTGTTGTTCTTCTTTACAAAGACGACAAATGCAGAACTGATGAGACAGTCCAGCATGTACACAGGCTAAAATATGGAAGAAGCCAGGGTTAAATGTTTAATTTGTTTCATATGTATTTTCTAAAATAACATAAATAATTAAACTAGGTTATCACCATAGGTTTCCTTTAAATCAGACTTGTATCCAAATGAAAATGCAGATTAATATTCCTTTTGAATGGGCTGCCAATGTATCACAATTTACAATTAACCTTTTAATGTACCCGAACATTGATGAGGTCAAATCGACATTAATTTCAGAACGTAGTGAAGAAAACACTCAAAGGCACATAATGGAAATGTTTTCTTGGATGAATGAAATTCTAACAGTGAATGTGGTTTTCGTTCAGGAAACTCCTTTAATTCCAAAATTGAATGTTAGAATCAAATGAAATTTCAATCGACATTCATCAAGTGTCTGATGGCAATATCAGGTGGTAAAGAAAGATCTTTCATACAAATACTCATTCCCAAATCCACTAATGTATGGCCAGCTTAACCCTTATTTCTGTCCTAGTGGCAACTGAAAATGTATCTTCCCAGTCCTAGTGAGACTGGTCCTCAGTGTGAGTGAATTGCCCTTGTAGGGACACGCACAGCAATCTGCAATCAGCAAAATCTGATAGTGATTCTAACAGGGTTATTCACAAAAGGGTGAAGAGTAGGGATGCACCGATACCGTTTTTTAAGTATTACGTACGAGTACCGATATTTTTTTCCTGTATTCGCTGATACCGAATTTCGATAGCGGAAGTCCCATTGAGGAAGCCAGGCGGCATGTGACCCACCACCTGGCTTCCTGATTAGCAGGGAAGCCGTCCCCATGCTTCTCGTCACTAGGTGGCGAGAAAGCATGGAGCTGGCTTTCTGTTCAATCAGGTCGTGACGTCTGGCTTCCTGATTGGCCGAGAATCTGTCTCCATGCTCACTCGTCATGAGGTAGCTTGAAGCTGGCTTCCCAACCAATCTGGTGCCTGGCTTCCAATCGCTGCCCTGCTTCCTGATACTGGAAATATCGGGCTAGGCAACGGAGCATTTGGGTGAGTACGAGTACTCTCCCAAATACTTGGCATCATCACCGATACCAATACTGTTATCGGTATCGGTGCATCCCTAGTGAAGAGTTTGGAGAAGGAAGGAGAAGTGAACCATCTAGGACAACATAACTGGAAAGTGAACTGAATTGGAATTTTTCCAAATCAGCTATTTTGGCCTAAATTGTTCACTTCCCCTGCCTTCTCCAAACGCTTCACCCTTTTGTGAATAACCCTGTAAATGTTTGAGCTTTAATGATAGCATGAAAACCCATGTTCTGCATGACTTGGTTGCTTAATGTTCAATTTTTCAACACTTTTAAGTAAATCAGTAAAACCCTCTTGATGGGGTTATTGACATCAGACTAGTCAGCCTCACATAAAAAGTGATACAAACTCTAAAGATTCCCTTTAAACAGAGTTTGTTATGCGCAAACGATGAAGCAATTGAACTGTAGGTAATTAGCAGAAAATTGTTGTGCTATTTAAACGCAACACACTATTCAGCCGGATCTGGGATCTTTGATAGATTTGTTCAATGTAAGCAAAAGGGAAAAATTAAGAAACCATTTGGGAAATGTTTCTCCATTTAGTGACCTTGTTAGGCTGTGAAGGTCAAATTGCTAAATTGCTTTGCTTAACAGATAAAGCCACCAATATAAACAAGCTTATGGATTACAAGATCTCTCAGAATTCTGTGTATATATAGCTGATCAAGCTTTTCTGCCCCCTTCATTATTCTCACTTGCACAGTTTTGAATGTATAATTGGATCATACTGCTAATAGATAGCTAATTATTTTAAAAGATCACTAAAAAGGGAGCCAAGCAATGGAGGGTCGTTCTTCTTAGAATTAGGACCCATTCAGATCTATATGTTGCAGTATTGTGTATTATATTGCAATTACCACAACACAAATATCACAGTGTGGTGTGGTGCACTGTGTCACTATTTATTTTAAAGAAGAAGATTGTCACTCCAGAATATACACTGCATGGCCAAACAAAAGTTGCACACTTTAATATTTAATTGGACCACTTTTGGCTTTGATTTCCATAATCTCAATACAAGTTACTAAACTAAACATGAGATTGTAGTCTATCACAGGAGTGAGCTTGGAGCGGTGGCTACTCTTTAACGCACATAGGGACCATGGGGAACAAAAGTAGCCACCCTCCAGAAGGAAGGGCAGTGTCAGCACCAATTCAGAGATGATTTGAGGATCTACAGCCGAGAGATACACAAATAGGATATATTTCTGTTAATAGTTACAGCACTTGAATGCATTTTTAAGATTTAACTCTTGAGTTTAGTGTAATTTAAAGCACGTTGTGGGAGTGTTTATATGACGCAACACTTTATTTAACGTACTTATCTATACATCAAATATGTCTAAATACAGCAAATCATTTATACAGCAAACCATTAACGTAGTATTAAACGCTCAAACTTTTTTCAATAATGAATCCAGATCAAACAGATTTCCCAGAAACGTTTTATTTTTTTGCCCTAGCACTTACAGCCATAATGTTTCCAAAAAGCAACAACTGTCTCAGCTCGGCTTCCCTGAACATCCTGTCCAGTACAAGATCACAAGGGACAGAGCAGTCTTCAGCATCCATCTACTAGCTTAGAAAAGGGAAGAGGAGCAGGAAGCGGGAGAGTGTCTTGCCTTGCTGTGTCTGCGTGTTTGTGGAATCACACACAGCTTACTATCACACACAAGGGTGTCTCCATAGCACCCTGCAAGGAACAGAAGCCACCCTAAAACAGGATATCAGGACCAGTGCTCAGGGGACCAGCTGAGTCTGAAGGAAACTAAAACTTTTAAACATGAAGGAGCAGCATCCATTGTAAGTGATTTAACAGCATTGTAATAGCTTAAAACCTTTTGACTTTTGGATTTGTAAGAAATTTGGGTAGCTACAAATGTGCTCAATGTGTGCTGAATTTATTTCATGCACTAAGCTCGAGTTTATATTCTAACATTGCACTGGGGTTATGCTATGTAGACCATTTTGATGCAAATACTACTTAGCAGAGTCCTTCTTTAATAGGAGCAGGGCATGCGTTTGTTTTTGAAGTGAATGAGGGTTGCCATACAATTTGAGCACCATGCTCCCTGCAATGTCGTCCTTTTCACTGTGTACAAAATTCTGAGGCTTCAGCAATTTAAGCTACATGATTGCAATCCACAGTTGATAAGCTGACATATGTTTTCTTTCTGCAGATTCTATTCAACAACTCATTTGCTGTGGACACTGCCTGGATACACCCGGCTGAGGAGCTGACATTATTTCAGGGACTAGAGAAGCCAAGTCTCAGGGCAAGCCAAGTCACCATGGCTATATCCAGGCCGACTACTGCCTCCAGGCCACTTCACACCGTCATTTTAACGCCTCAGCGAGTAACAGGTTTGTGTTTGGTGTTATTTGTGAATAACAGGTGCATGTATGAACTTTGATGGAAAGGTGCATTAATGCCGTTGGCTGCCTGCAGCAAATTGGCAAAGCTTTTATCATTACTTGTTGCTCATGTCAATGCTTAGATGTTTTATTTTGTACATCTTAACCTAGATTGTGCAGCCAGGAATTTTTCCTGAGAACAGGTGCCTTGGAGTTAGATGTACTGAAATACATTCTGCTGAATTCAGCATTACTAGCTCTGATTTAAAATCTTTGTTTGGAAGCGATAACATTGACCAGAGCACACATAAAGTTTTTCCAAAATTTTTAAAGTAATATTGGGATATTTTTGTGCTTACCCAATGAATCTTAGTAGAACACAGGTGTCAAGACTGTAATACATTTAAACTTTTAATAAAGTTTATTAAATGAATATAAGTAAAGACATTTCAAAAATGAATGGAAATAATTGAAAACTAAAAAGGTAGGGGTTTTATTGCACAGTTACTTGAGCTAAGTTAGTTCAGGGGACAGACATGTAAAGCCTTGGGCAATCCCTGAAAAATAGGAACAGCTGGCAACTTGCAATTATATAATAATATATGTTAGGTCATTTCAGTTTGGTCTTGTTAAAGAGGAACTGGTAAGCTTTACAGGCTTGTATGACCAATGTATCTTGGTAGGCTTTCTTGTGTGCTCCAAGTGTGACCTGACCAGTGAAGCACCTGCTCTTTTACAAGAAGGGTGTGGTGCCTCTGACAATACCTGAGGAGAATGTGAAGCATAGACCCCACTCAAACCAAAGAGATGATGCATAGTTGTGGAGCCAGGGTGTTCCTGCACTCCCTTGGTGACCTGGCCAACAGCAGTTGAAGGGTCGTGATAGCATGAGCTACTCCAGGCAGGTCACTCATCATGGTGTTTGAGGAATTGGATAAAAAATGCTTGCTACATACAGTCATGAGCTGTGCTGAAGATAATGAGCAGAATATACTCTGTTTATCAAGCTAGGGTGGAAAATGTCACTAGCTACCTATTTCAGTGGAACATGGGAAGTCATTTTCTCACATTATTGGGGCAACCTTGTCATAACTGAAGGAATTGGTGATTAACTTTCAGAGATCTCTGCTAAGAAGTTCAATATCTGTGTTCCCTGCTGTGGTTTGTCCTGTTCTTCCTCCATGCAGCCTAATTTGACAGACAATTAGTGAAAGAACATTTTCACTATTGTTATCAAAACCTTCAGCCCTCCTCCCTAGCCCCCTTCAGTAGGGTGAGCTGAGCCCCCCCACCCCCCCCTCCCTCCCCAGTTGCTTTCTCCTATCGCGGTGGTGATCTCCCGAGTTGACAATAGCCTGGCCGGTAAAAATCTAGTGCCAGACTCCCTGCCTTTGTTATTAATGTCCCATAGACTTAAATGGGATGTACCCATGCTGCAGTAGCAATGTCTCATTCATGTCTGTGGCACATTAGTGCTCCCGTGTGGCCAGCCTGCCACTGTATTTTTGCCAGGTAGGGAGGCTGGGGGTTTTAATGTTGAATGTATACTTTAAATGCCAACTCCATGCACATTTATTAGAATGATTGAAAGTGACAATTTGACCACGTTAGAGGGGAGGCAAAAATAATCAGAGGGAGATGTCACTAAACGAGTCTTAGTGAGATATAAGAAGCTATAAAATGATTCAACCCGCCCGCCTGGAACCGAAATATACATTTTGGTTAGAGTTGGCCTTTATGCTTTCCTGCTTATTCATTTTTTCCCATCATGAGAACCCTTTTTTGACTATATGCTTATTTTTTTTGTTTAGTTTTTTTTATTACTTAAACAATAAAATACATATTCAATTATCTCCCTTCAGAGCTTTGGAAAGATGCAGGTTTAATAAAGCAGTGACTTTTTTTATTCTGTCCTGTGTGATATTTCTTTGAGCGTTCCGCCATTCCTTACGTTTTTGGAGCATTGGTTGCAGAATGGATTTGGTAATACTGCACAAGAAGCTGTATTCGATTTGTGTCACAAAAGCTTATTGATTGGCATCATGTTTCTATTAGCTTCTTCCTTAGAGTTTTCTGAGACAATTCTCTTGTTTTATGTCGGCTGTTGTAACCCCGATTCTTTGTACTGCAGGTGGCTTAAATAGAAGCCAAGCGCAATAAATAGCTTTAATTTGTTTTCTTCGGTCCTGTGTATTATGTCAGTGTATTTGTTATTTCCTCTGGTGGAAATTTGTTTTGATTTATTCGTACATAAAGGGATATGTTATGTAATAGCAATAACAACCAAGCTGGCCTCTTATGTATACCATGCAGTGTAAGGGGCCCTATATGAATTGTGATCCTGTTTTATGGCAAGGAAGAAGGCAGGGTGTTGATTAGCGGGAGGTCATATTGTCTCGCTGCCTACTAGGTTAACCCATGATGTATTTTATTACTATATATTGTAGATCACAACCAATCCGCACTAAGCCTAAGAAGCTATTAAAGAGCTGATTTACTGAAGAAATCATGTTTTCTTAGCCCGTGTACCTCTGGTCCAAACAACCTATTATGTTCATGAGAATTTTGTGCACAAGTATGTGGCTTGCTAAAACGACTAATTTAAAGAGGACCTGCATTATGGATGTGCCCAAAAATGACAGGCAGAGGGAAAAGGTTTAGTAAACAGATTTTCATTTTTGATATTGTGGTCGAAATTGTTAGATTGGTCAGGTTGGAAATGAAGTGAAGAAAATATCACCCTGGACAGGGCGGAGGAGGGAGCCACACCTGAGGGTGGCAGGGAAGACTCTCAGTAGACTCAAGGGGCGATGATATGAGCTATTGGCAGGTTCTCTGGGAAGACTGTTGCAAACCACCTTAGAGCTGCTAGAGGATCATGAGCTGGAGAGGCCTAAGGGACCAATTCTTTTGCACTTAGGATCTGACATACTGCAGAACAACTAAGGCAAATTAATGCTCAACCCAAGCACCTGTGGTACTCCCAACCTGTTGGGGAACCAGGAGAGGCTATGTGACCATGTCACTATTAGGCACCAGCAAGAATAACCCAAGAATAACCCAAGGTAAACCCATGACCCTAGAGAGGAGAGTGGTGGTGAGAAACCGCCTCACACTGTAAGGCAGGAAGAGGAAGTGTAAGTGCAGATGCACTAATTCTCCAGTGCGCTATCCCTTTCAGAAAAAGAATGGCAAAAAACAGTAACTATGTGCTGTGCTTATATGGGAGCAAGCCCCTGACTTATCAGTCACAGGCTCGGCTAATAAACACACTAACTATGTGCTGGAGAGCGCCACATGCAGAACCCAGTCAACACGTCACATTCCAGGGATTATTCACCCCTACCATCTCCAGCGATCATAAGCACACCAGAGGCCGTGTCAGAAACCTGGACCTGTAAAGTGCTCTGCGGCTAACACATTAATACACCAGGTGTTTGGGGAGTGCCATAAGTAGAGCTCAGTACCTGAAGGTCAGACTCCATCTAACGAAAGCACAAACATCAGCTGAACTGTGGAGCTGCATAAGGAGTCCCAGTTCAGTACCTTAGTGAAGTATCTTGACTGAAGAAGACGAATAGCCTTTTTTCTCAGTAAAAATGGTTAGAAATAAATGGTGCCTTTTACTGTATATCCGCGTGGAGTCCAGCTTGGCATAATTTATTTTTTACCCTTAAAAAGAGTAGTCCACCTTTTGCCAAAAAAATGAAAATAAAATGACACACATTCATAATAAACTGACAGGAGCCTGTGGGTAAAAGAACCCAGTGATTTAGGTATAAAGGTATGATTTAAGTATAAGATGGGGCGGGGGAAGGCAACATTACCATATTTCATATTACACCCAGAATATGGGTGTAACATGAAGCATGGTATTAAAGGAGAACTATGGGGTCAGTGTTTTTCCCCATAGTTCTCCTTAGGGTAACGGGAGGACAAAAACTAGCGTCCTCCCGTTACCCTAAGCTCAGTATACCGCGAGCTACAGCTCGCGGTATACTGAGATGCCGCACCTGGAGCGGATCCCGACTTAGATGACGGGATCCGCCCAGCTGCGTGAGTGACAGCTGGCTCTGCCTACCTAGAGGCAGAGCCAGCTGTACCCGCCCCCTCCCCGTCCGTTCCGCCAGTCAGCGCCGGCAGATCGGAGCGGGGAGAGGGTAATCCAACCCCTCCCCCTGTCACGGCAGAGAGCCGTTAAAGGGATGTGTTCGCTCACCTCCCGATCTACTGAGCCGACCTGTGACAGTCTCATTGTCACAGGTCGGCTTAGAACTATGAGGTGAGTGGAAATCACTCATCTCATAGTTCTCCTTTAAAAGTAAACTTAGCCTATAATTTTTAATTTAGTTTTAATGTTTGTTGTTATCTCTTGTTCTGTGTAAACCATATACCATATACAACCACAAGCAGTTGGGACATGCATGCTGGCTTTCATACTTTCCTGCTTTTACTCACCTTTGCCATGCAGATGTTATTTTTATACACGCTGCACAGCTTAAAGTTAAGATCACGGATTCAGGAAAACAACTGATCCCTCTATAAAGATCTATGCAAATATTGCTCCTGAGTGTTCTTCACTTAAAAGTATCTTGAAGGCAATGTGCATGCAGAAGTTACTGGCTCAGTGGATGGGATCAAAAGAGCGTAACAATCTTGTAAAGGCTGACACAGCGTCATGGGCTACAGTTATATGTGGAAGTTTCTTTGAAGGGAAAGTTGGAGGAAGGAGTGAACCATTTATAAGGTGTTTTTTTTACTTTTTTTCTGGTCACAGGTCAAAAATATTGTCATGCTTGTGACATAATAGTTATGTCACAAGCTAAAGATATGCAAATTAAAAATCTAGGTCCCTTTCTGCAGGTTACAGTCTCAGTTTGAGGTTGGATATAATTACACACCTGTGGGCTTCTCCTCTAATTTCCGGGACAGGGAAGTGAAGAGAGTTCTCCCAGCAGGACATGGGCAGAAAAATCCTTCTCCACTCTTAAACTTAAAAAAAGTTTTTG